GAACCAGGGACCCTGGAGTGGATTGGTGGGAGAAGATTGCTATTCTTCTGGAGGAGCTGGATCGTGCGCGCTCTAGCAGGGAAGCGCCTAGGTTCACGAAGTTGATCTATAGGCCCCGCGACGCTGCTTCTAACGCACCAGCATCCACGTTAGCTTCGATCTCTAGGGAGGAAAAGATATCGCGGAGTCGGAGTCTTCGGATGTCGAACACTGCGACGACGGAAAGGAGTACAAGGACGATCGCATCAAGATTGCGGGAAGTTCACAACGCATGGAGTGCGATTCTCAGTATTTACCCTCCTCGCAGTGGGCAGAGAAGCAGTATATCTCGGCGCCGGGGGAGTTACTCTGATTAATATCTGACAGGGCAGCTGCCAAGGACGAAATCGAAAACAAGCCCACGATATCCTCGGACCCGCTCGCAGCGATGGACATTCGAGCGAAGGTGTGAAAGGGGCGAATGGAGTGGCGATCGGCTTGACTCGCGACGCTTGCACGAGACGCATATCCAGTGTCGCGACAAGGCAAAAGACGACCCGTTCCCGGCGGCTTTCGACGGGGACACGCTGGAGGACGGCATCAGAAGGATGAAGAGCACGTCGGCCAAAGGCATAGAACAGCTGGGCAAGATGGACTTAATGTGATTGCATGATAGTGGGATGTTGGAACTGATGCATCTATCTCAAAAAAAATAATCAAAAGCGGCTTTGCCATGGCAGTTAAGTGTTGCCCTGGCCACCCTCGCGGGCCAGGCCAACGGAGACGCTCGCGCCATTGGGGCGTTATCTGGCCCAGCGAGACTGCGGCCCAGCTGCCGCGGAAGCTTCAGAGCCTGCTGGACGCGACAGCAGGCGGGACATTGGGATGCGGCAGCGGCAGGATCGTCAGCGTTACGAGAGGCCCTCATAAGAAGTTACCTGGACGAGACTGTGGCATTGACTATGATGAAAGGCTGGCCCCAGATCAGCATGCTCTGGGACATAGAGGGTTTCAACGATGCGTTGCAATGGAATGGAAGTTGCTGCTCGAGTCGGGCTTGGAGCACAACTTCCCTCCGACGATCCTCGCGCTTGAGATGATCTGACACGTGAGAATCCAAGTTCTCACGGGACAGTGGACAGTACTCTGGCTCGATCATCCCTGAGAAGAGCATGATCGCTGGACTTGGCGGGGCAGTGGATTTCTCAAGATGCGTTTCATACCATATTCTGGGAAGAACAGCGCGGGGCACTCCGACAGTTACCATGCGTTCCTGGGTGCATGATGTCTCTCAGCGTGTGGAAGGAAAATGAAAAGGGTCCTGGCGATGGCCAGACAAGCAGGCATTACCTTTGCGCAGGGCTGCACTGATGCGATACTCAAGATTTTCCCAAGTCGATCACCATCACCAACTGCTTTCAGCTGGGAAAGGGCTGCAACAGGCTTTCTCGGAGGTTGGCTTAACAGTGAAGGTAGAATGTTACTACTGATATTGGGATCGACCGTGGGGGGGCATCTCTTCTCCACCCAGAGCAATCTACGAAAAGGAAAGGTGCGCAGAGGAGGTTCACGCGCGTGAAACGCTTCGCACAGGGAGCGGCCAAAGCGTATAGGTGCTACTGGCGATGATGGGGGGTGCTGCCTATGGCGGATTACTCGGACGAGGTTCTTGGAGCTGCGTCCGCTGCCATCAATGGATGGAGGAAGCCGCCAGGACAAACTCTTGCACGCAAGTGGCCAGCCAGGCCGATGCCTTACGGCCCTTTTAAAACGAGATATCAGATGGTGCACAAATTGGTGGGGTCATGGATGGCGCTCATCTTCAAGCCAGGCTTCGATCCTGAACTTGCGAGGCGAACATGCCGAACGGCTCGGGGGCGCTCGGTTAACAAAAAGAAGGACAGATGGCGTAGCATTGCAGGTATTGTAACAGCTCGTACAGCAACACTTATGGACATTGGATGGGATCCTATTGGGACATGGAACTGGCGTTCAGACCTTGGGGATCAAAACATGGCGCCAGACGACATGATTGCGAACCGGCCGCAACACATGGGCGCCCTGAAGGACGCCATCTCGGACACGCTTGACGGGATGCTTTGGGATAGAGCTTCAAAACACTGGAATGGGAGAGGTCCGGAAGGTGGAGCAGGCATTCGAGACGCGCGACGACATGAAGCGGCGCTGAAGAAGAAGGGCAACCATGAGTTGGTTGGCGCCATTGAGGCGGCGATGACTGGTACGTCACGGACCAGATCGAGGATCGCTTCCCTGAACAGCAGCAAGATCGATGCGGTGGTGTGCCCGAGGTGTACGACTGGGCAAGAAGAAACGGATCTACACATAAGCTGGCCTTGCTCTTGCAACGAAGAGTTCGCTACCATATCGCACGGACTGGTTAGGCGAGCTCAAGAAGCCCATGAAGCACTTCCCTGCCCCTGGCTCAGAGGGACCTTACCTGCATCGTGGACACAAGTGAACGAGCCTGCGGACGATCCTTTTGACGAGCGTATCGGACGATGGGACGAACTTCGAGGGCGAGATCATCTGCTTGTCGGGGGAGACGTCTCGGGAGGCTCTGACCCGCGCTTATGCAGGATTGGGTGGTCTTACCCCGTTATTCGCGTTGGTGGCTTGCTTGAGTCTGAAGTTGAGTTACTTGCTTCGCGTGGTGGTGGTGGTATTCCAAAGAAGCGGCCAGTTAACATATGTGAAACGACGCTTTACCACGTGGTGTGGAGCATCTCCTTGGATACCAGGTGCCGATCAGTTTCGTTACGGATTCCGACTGCGTCACGAATGGGACTGGTAAGCTGCGAGAAGGTCGATTACCCACGACTAACTTGGATCTGTGGCGGGATATGGAAGTTGCGCCCTCCGTTCTGCACCTCTCCTGTTGACCGCTGTCAAAATCGAGAGCCACCTCACGGTTGAGGAAGATCAACAGAACGGTGTCAGGGTGGACTTTAACCTTGCAAGCGCCATGGTGGATGAAGCGGCTCATTACTGGGCAGAAGAAGTGGGCGTTCGCGGACTCGGTGGTCGGGGCGATTGAGCACGCTGCAGCTATTGGCAGATCCATGCGATGGCACTTGGGCAAGGCCTTCCTGGCAGCGGCAGCTGCCGAGCCCAAGAGAATCAAACCAACGCGTGCGATGGCGAAAAACTACTTCAAGCAGGCTAGGATGTCCGAGCACCAGGTGTACACTGGCATCAGCTCGGCGTTCCATTGCGAAGCGTGTGGGTGCAGTGCCAGCGACAGGAAGCTCGAGAAGTTCTTGGATACTCCGCATGGGTTGTGCAGTCAAAGGCTCGGTCCAGCGTCTTGGCAACGTTGGGGTGATGGTGCAGCCAGTGCATGTCTCACACCTGCTGGGCTATTTCAGCGACCTGAAGGTACACGCCTGCGTACGACGTGGTTCTGTGGGAAAATATTTCCTGAGGGGGCTGGCTGAGCCGTGCTCGAACCACCTGGGCCACTACGGCAGCCAGAACCTACGCAAGTTGGCCCGTGGGATCTTACCAAAAGCGATGATTTCCTGTAAGCGGCCGATGTCCAAACTTGTCCGGTCACACCTACTTTGATTGGGATTGGTACTGCGTTGGTGCTGGATCCTATCTTTTCGAGGTCCTCGTGATCGCACAGATGGGGTTGTGACGGAGCCAGCTGGAGCCTGGGGTGATCCTGGCTAAGAGCAACAGTTCTGAGGTGCACTGCAATCGGCCTGGCGTGCTGGCTCACGGACCTCAAGGGCATGCTGTTGTGAGAGCTCCATGCTCTTCTCCCCTTTTCCTCTTCCGCCTCCCCTCAGTCTCAGCGCGAGCCTCGGTGGGGGCTGCGGCGACGGGCGGACCGCGGAGTACTAAATACTCCTCCTCCTCCTCCTCCTCCTCCTCCTCCTCCTCCTCCTCCTCGTCATCATCATCATCATCATCATCATCATCATCATCATCATCATCATCATCATCATCATCATCATCATCATCATCATCATCATCATCATCATCATCATCATCATCATCATCATCATCATCATCATCATCATCATCAGCAGCTGCAGCAGCAGCAGCAGCGCATCATCAGCAGCAGCAGCGCATCATCATCATTATCATCAGCAGGGCCTCTTCCGACCCTCGTCGCCAAGAGAGATGATGTTATTTGTGAGGAGCAGTGCACGGCGGCGACTCGCGGCTACAAAGGCGAGCCACTGGACAGGTAGACGAGCCTCGCACCCAGCAAAAAAGCCACACTCAAGCTCAATGGGGGAAGACAAGGGCGGGAGGGAGAGCTTGAGCACAAGTGGCAGTGGCCATACGGCGACGCCCCCTACAGTGCCTGCTTCACGTACTGAATACACCCAGCAGGGCCTCTTCCGACCCTCGTCGCCAAGAGAGATGATGTTATTTGTGAGGAGCAGTGCACGGCGGCGACTCGCGGCTACAAAGGCGAGCCACTGGACAGGTAGACGAGCCTCGCACCCCGAACCCGAACGCGGACTTGGCCGAAGGCCGAAAAAATATCAGGGCTAAACCCCCATTCTGCGAGAGAGAGCCAGGGAGCGTTTATTCTCACAAGTGCGGATGAGAATGGCAGCGGCGGCTCGGGCGAAGGCTGTCGGGCACGCAGCGGCAATAGCGGTCCAGTGTTTCCCGCCAGGCGCGCGCCCGCTGAGTTCAAGGTGGGGTCGGAGCGTCCTGCCGCAGGCCGCGAGGGCCACCGCATTTCTTCGATAGCTCCCGCAGCTCTCCGATGCCCCATGCTTGCACCCTGGTAGCTTTTCTCCAGGGCGCGCCAAACTGGCACGTGACATACTACAGAAGTGCTGCTCTTTAAATTTAGAAGCTTCTGGAAGTGAGGGGAGGGCCACAAGAGGCTGCTCTGCGGGTTTTCAATCATGACACCGATCCCGTATCTCAAACAGGCACGGATCACTTGAAGGGAAAAGAGGAAAGACCTGTTTCCAATGTCGATTTTTCTACACTGTTCAGGCGAGAGGTCGGGCCGGCCGTCAGGACATTGCTCAGTCCGCAGCGGGGTCCGGAGGGCGCGGGTCCAGGCACTGCACGGTGCGCCGAGCCACACGCCTGCGATGACCCCGCCGGAGATCCAGCCCAGGACCCTGTTGAGGAAGGCGGGCGTCAGATGATTCTCCAAAGGCGAAGCATTGAAGTCCAGGCTGAGCGCGGCGTAGCCGATGGCCTGCGCGCTGGCCGCGACGCGGCCGCAGCCCCCGAAGAGCTCCAGGAACAGCAGCGACTTGAGACGCACGGCCCGGCCCAGGCTCGTCACGAGCCTCTTGGCCAGGTGGGCGCCGACGTCCCCGCCGTGAACCAGGTGGGTCACGTGGCCGGTCGCTCTCGACTGCGGCCGGCGGCGAACGTGGCCCCGGCGCTCAGGCCTGAGAGCCGGAGGGCCCTCCCCTTCGCCGGGACCTGGTCGAAAAGCGGGCCAGCCAGCCCGTGCTTCACGAGCGTCGCGGCCGGGGTCATCACAACGCCTCCGAAGCTGAAGACGTCGTTGTGCACCTCCGCGGCGGCTTTGAAGGTCAGCCTGAACTCCGTCGCGTCGAAGTCCCACAGCGAGGCGTCCGTGTGAGCCGCCGCCTGGAGCCCTGCCACCGCAGGGGAGGTCCAGCTGGCCTGGTCGGTGAGCCCTGCGTCGTCCGACGTGTCGGTCCTGGACAGCAGGCCGAGCTCGAAGTCGTGGAGTAGCAGCCCCCACCTCACGCAACTTGCCCCTGCCGCCAGCACGGGAGAGACCAGGAGCCTTCCCAGCAGCGCAATCCCCTCCAGCGGCCTGCAATAGCAGATGAAGTCCAGCATGGTGTAAATGGCCATCCGCCGACGGCCGAGGCACAGCATCACCTCCGCGATCGCCGCCACCCCAGTCCTTGGCATCGGCAGCCTCGAGCGCCCAGGAGCACGTCGCTTCCAGGCGCCTGCCGCCCGGCACACGCGTGGCAGATACCGCCCGCTGCGCCGGGCCAAGCCTGGGATGACGTGCAGGAGCGCCGCGATCAGCTGCCTCCCCAGGTCCGAGCACCTGCCGTCCCGGAACTGGTGATTCAGCAGCGCGGCGACGGCAATGTCCAGTGACTCCCTGCTGTCCGAGTCCAGGCGGTACATCCGGCAGAAGAGGACCAGCGTCGCTATCCAATCGCGGTACTGCCTCTGCGCGTTCGAGCGGATCCCCGCGGACTCGAGGATCGGGAGGCCCAAGGTCCGCACCGTCGAGGCCACCACGAGCAGGGCGTTCTGCGCCCGCTCGACAGCGGCCAGCGCCGCCGCTGGCCGCCGGCGAGGTCCCACGGGGCCGGGTAAGGTGCACATGGTATGGAGTAGTGAAAAAGCCGTGATCGCCTCGAGACGGATGGTCTGCAGGATTGAGTTCAGATGGTACCCAACGCACAACTATCTTGCATCCCGTGGTCAACGACAGAGCAGCAATCTTCTGAAGTACATGCCGAAGATATCGAGAGTTCGCCCGCCCTTTAGTGGCCGCTAGGGCCAGTGGCAAGTTATCCACTATAAACAGGATCTTCTTCCCGAGAGCCCCAGTGTTCCTGAGCGTGTGCCGAATAGCCATGAGAAGCGCCTCCCCCTCCAGCTCAAGGACGTCGGTGGACCCAGCAACCTTCGAAGCGTGAACAACCTTCCAAGTGTCAGACTTCAGGAGGCCTAAGGGGACCTCGTCGAAAGCCACGGGGTTGTCGACCAGCAGGTTCTCGAGGGCCTTGTCGGGGTCACCAGTGGAGCCCACAGCCGGCGGATGAAGAGCATGCTCGCGGGCCCGCTGGGCCCCCTCAACCCGGAAGCGCCACCTCTCGCTGCATCGGCCGATCGATGATACCATTGATATGGGAGCTTTTCGAACAGTGACGCCGAGACCGAACAGAGACGCGTCAGAGGCGGCCACCTCTGGCCACCACCCTGCGCTGACGCCAACGCTGAGCAGAGGTAAAATACAGCGTGCTCGCCAAAGCTCGCGTCGCACCGATCTCCAAAGACGCGCCTGCCGAGACCCGATCCGCTCGGCAAACTGGTAACTGGCGTTGAGCAAAGAGAGGACTTCTCGCCGTATCAACCCCGCCCACGCGAAATGTCCCATGATGACCCTGAGGGCGTCTCCAGAACAAAAACCTCTTCTGAGCAAAGCGTCCAAACCGAATCGAAGTCTCCAAATGCTCCTGGCCTCGATCGAAAGATGTCGCCCTCTCTTCAGCTCTAGCCCTACGAAGGTGGCGTCCCGTGCGGCCGGCTCCTCATCGTGAGTGAGAAGCCCTTTCTCCGTCAGCACGCGCGCGATGGCAAGGGCGGCCTGGTCGACGAGGGCCGGGGAGCGTCCCAGGGCGGCGTAGTTGTCGACGTAACCGGCGACCGCCACGGCGCCCTCCCCGTCGACCACGACCCCTGCCTTCCCGTCCTCGATGCACTGGTCTACGGTGAACCCAGCGGTGTCCATGGCGCGTCGGAGCACGCCCTGACAGAGGGCCAGCGCATGGCTCCAGCTCATCGGCAGGACGCACACGCAGGGCTGCACCCGCGCCCCTCGCGCGAGTGGGGCCCCGCCCAGGTGCGTGATCCCGAGCAGGCTGGCATCCAGGGCGGGTAGTCTGAAGTAAGAGGACAGCCCGTCGGGCAGTCGTAGTCTGCAAAAAGCATCGTCGATATCACCCGAGGCCAGGTAAGTGTCATGCCCAGGATTCTCGAAGGCAGCGAGGGCCGTCGCAGTCGGCAAAGCCGTCCGAGCAGGTCGACCGAAAAATAGGTTGGCATACCTCGTATCAAATATCACTCTCAGCTTCTTGTTCTTCTTCGCGACGAAAAAGCAGCCGACGGTGGCCGCGTCACAGTCCCCCTTCAGCTCCACCATGCCGCGAGCCAGCAACTTGGCGACAAAATCGGCGTAGAGCAGGGGCTTACTGAAGAGACTGGGGTCAAAATAAGATCCGTGAGGGCAGAACTCAGCACGTTCAGCAGCTGTAGGTCTATCTGGCCTGAGCAAGGTGCTCTGCCAGCGGCCCAGCCACTCAGATTCGGCCTCACCAAGGCAGGCGGCCAGTGGGACTGGCTGCAGGTCGGGCGAGGGCCAGGAAATGGACTCCTTGACATACGGCCGTCGGGAGGAGAGATCACCCGTCTGGTAGATCCCCGTCCCAGCGAGGAGCTCACGTAGGGCTCCCTCGCGAAAACCTGCCTCAGGTGGGGGCTTGCCAAGTGCACGTACTCGAGACTCGATGTAATCCACTGCGTGCCGGTGACCGGCGTTGGCAGGAGCCGCCGGCCGATCCTGGTGGCCGTACAAGTCGTTCAAGGCGTTGATACACTCGTCGCCCCAGTCGAGAATGTGCTTGGTAGCTGCACCCCGCCGCCGCGTGACCCGTGACAGATCACGGCGGCCCGCCGCACCGTCATGGCCCCGGTGCAGAGGGGGCAGTGGAAAAATATCACGTTGGCGGCCACTGTGTCCCAGCGCGTCAAAAACCTCACTCTTGATCGGACCGGTGGAGGCGACCCGGCCCACAGGCGTCTCAGTCAGGGGGTCGCGCTGGCCGCCTGAACCAGGCGCGACCGAAGGGAGCATCACCCCTTCTCCTCCCTCTCGTCCTTCTTCTTGTTGTCCTTCTTTGCAAGCTCCCTCTCCTCTCGCGCCATGCGGCGCTCCTCCTGCAGCGCCTGCTCCTTGGCCAGCTGGGGGCTGGCCCACTCCCGGGGGAGCGGGCACCCGCACACTCCTCCTCTCGCGAGCACGCTGCCCATGAAGAGATGCGCGTCCACGCTGTCGGGGCCGCCGCTGGCCGAGTCGCATGCTCGCCCGTCCTGGTAGCGTCCCTGCTGCACCTGGGTGGCGCGAGTGAGCATCTCCGCGGCCGCCAGGTTCGCCTTGTTGCACTGGTCGAAGCAGAGCAGCTCCTCCGGCGCCCTGCAAGCGTGCTCATGCTCCTGCACCCCAGGTTCGTGATCCTGGAGACGAGCCTCGCTGCGCCACCGAGCGTGCATCCCAGTCGGGGTCCTGCCGTGGTCGACGATGCACCGTGGAACCCAGTGTGTGGTGCGGGGGCTGCGCACATGTCGCCCCTGCCACTGGTCCTCCTGGCGCGCCAGCACCGCGTCGCGGAACACCCGCTGACTGATGCCCACCGTGTCGACACCATCGGGGGTGGTGACCAGGGCGGTCAGCCCCGATCCGAGCGGCAAGTAGGTGGCTAGCCCCTCGCGGTACAGGTACGGGCTCCCGACGCTGTACTTCACCACACAGGGGTCGCCCACCTGCAAGTCGTGCGACCTTGTGAGCGGGTGGCAGCAAGCAGCAGCAGACTGCGTCATTGCGCCCATGCCCTCGACCTGTACTGAGCTGCCTGAGCTTGGGTGGTCGCGTCCAGGTCCTCCGGGCTCAGCTCGGTCCCCGCCCTCGTGCCTGTCCAGCGGCCAGCGGAGAACGCCACGAAGGCCACGCGGGCACGCGTGACCCAGCGTGAAGAGGGTCAGCGGCGAGATGAAGGCCGCGTCGCCGGTCGAGTAGGTCAGGGGTGGGCAGTTCAGCACTGGTGAGCACCCCAATTGGGCCGTCCTGCCCCACGACAAAGCACGTCGAGTCCCCTTCTCCGAATCGATCGGCAATAGGGCGGAGGGCACTCTGCACGGGAAAGAAAGGGGGAGGCCTGACTCAGAGCTTGAGCACAAGTGGCAGTGGCCATACGGCGACGCTCCCTACAGTGCCTGCTGATCGTACTGTCATCATCATCATCATCATCATCATCATCATCATCATCATCATCATCATCATCATCATCATCATCATCATCATCATCATCATCATCATCATCATCATCATCATCATCATCATCATCATCATCATCATCATCATCATCATCATCATCATCATCATCATCATCATCATCATCATCATCATCATCATCATCATCATCATCATCATCATCATCATCCTCTTCCTCCTTCCCCTCATTCTCCTCCTCCCCCTCCTGCTCCTCCTCCTCCTCCTCCTTCCCCTCTTCCTCCTCCTCCTCTTCCTCCTCTTCCTCCTCATCCTCCTCCTTCTCTCCGCCTCTCCTTTGCCCATCCTCCTCCCTCATTCCCCACTACCACTCCTCCTTCCCCTCCCTCCTCCCTCATCCTCCTCTCCCATATCTCCTTCCCCTCCCCGCTTTCTCTTCTTCATCCTCCTCATACCCCTTCTCATCCTCCTCGGCCTGCTCATCATCCCCTCCTCCAGCATCCCCCTTTTCCTCCCCCTGCTCCTCCTCCAGTCCCTGCCTCTGTTCGTAATCCTTCCTTCACGTCGGCTCTCCTCGTCTTTGCAGGCCACGCTCTCCCGCTCTCCCGTCCGCTCCTTCCGCCCTCCTGGGCTGCCAGGTGGAGAGTCTTTCGCACCGTGGCCACCTGGGCTTGTAATCCTTGTCAAAGGTCCGGAGGAATCCCTCCGCTACCTTAGCTCGCTTCTCCGGCACACACTGCTCAGACTGCTGCCCGACGGTGTTGGCAGACAGCTGGCCTGTGGGGTCGTCGCCGTCGAACTCCCCGCGCGTCAGCGCGATCCTCAGTCGCCCCGTGCCGCGGCACAGCGCTGGGAAAGCCGATCGGCGAGCGAACGGGCCCCGGATCCATAGATCCGGCCGCTGACCGGAGGTCTGGACCACTTGCATGGGGCCAGCTTTTCGTTCCGATTTTTTTTGCTCACGGTCCCGAGGGCAGGCGAGGGCCCCCGGGGGCCGGAACCGGCCACAGACCCGCCGCTCCCATTTTTCTGGAGCGTCTGGCCTCTGAGGAGCTCCAGAAGGCCGCGTGCACCATTTGTGTCGGAAACACGACCTGGCAGCTCGCCACGGCCGAGGAGCGTGACGCTGTACCAATTTAGTAGGGATTGGCCACAGCTGCCCAAGGAGGAGGAGGAGGAGGAGGAGGAGGAGGAGGAGGAGGAGGAGGAGGAGGAGCAATGGAGCACTGCAGAGAGCGGCCAGGTGCATCATGAAGCCACCTCGAGAAAAGGAGGGCGACCCAGAAAGGCTGGGGTCGCCTCACGCGGTGCGGACAAACGCCAGCACCGTGCACAGAAACTCGCACTGCCTCCGCGGGCAGCGGGTCCGAGCCAGGGGCACCTTCGAGCCACTCCGCGCCGCGCAGGCCGACGGCCTCGGCCCCAGGGCCCGCGACCCCCAACCTCGGAGGCACCTGCTGGGAGTCTTCGGGCTCTCTGGGAAAATCCGCTGGCGCGTCGGCCAGCAACAGTGGGCCAAGGGCCTCGCCCGTCTTGGGATGACGGCCCCTCTGAGCATTCGACAGGAGCCTCTGCAGCCGATCCCGCTCCGCCCGACCCCCAGTCGCCCCAGTCCCGCCCCCCTCGCAGGCACGCACCAGTCCGACCGAGAGGCGCTGCGGGCGCACCGCGTGCGTACCGCAGCGCGCGCAGATTAGCACACGCTCCGACTCTTGCACCTGATGGCCAGGCCCTGCAGTTTGGGGATCGCAGGGAGGAGAGGGCGGTGGCCTGCCTCCAACATATCTTGCAGCCGAAGGCGCCCTCAGGGAAACCAACGAACACATGTGTGGTGGGCTTCCTCACGCGCCGAGCCCTCGGGGCGGGCGCAAGGAGCTTCCCAACTGCAGTTGTGGCCATATTTGCCACTCTCTCAGCAGCAAACGCAAGACACCTCATGCGGCTCAGCGCCTGCTCTAGCTGAAACTTGAAAGCCTGAACGACCGACGAAGATCCCGACATCTCGAGCGCGGCCACCTTCGCGAAACAGTCGGCCCACATATTGCCGAAAAGGATATCTAGCGCCTCGCCCGATTCGATGCTCGCCGAAAGACCCTCATCGACAGACCGATGAGCCTTGGTCCAGGTGAAGACAGGTCGGCACTCATCAGAACTGCGCAACTGATTTTTTTTTGCGCCAGACGCTGGTGTGCGGGGCAAGGGGCCCAGCATGTTTGTCATCCCATGAGGCCCCTTCACGGGCGAGACTCAGATGATCGGTAACAAACTCGGTCGGCCTGGCAGCAACTTCCAGCCCACGCAGCGCAGCAACTCTCTCTGCGCGGGGAACTGTTTGAATTGGGCCGCCACGGCCGCCAAAAAAAGAATTGAACGGGGCGAGGTTGGGCGCCAAGGCCACCACGGCCCATCCGGATTTCCTGGACTCAGGAAAATCACTGTCAAAACAAGAACCATCGCCGTAGACTGTTCCTGGCCACGGGACCGTCGCAGCACCCCACTCCTTTAACCGGCAGCAGGCAAGGCTCAGGGGGGCTGAAAACAGGCCTCAGAGGGATGGCGTAGAGCAGGTTGACGCGGGTGAAGTTCCACTCCAGGCCAACTCCTGTTTGCCCCTGACTCCAGATGTACTTCCTGGCCTGCGTGACGTCGTCGGGGTAGGGGGGCTCCTCTTCGTCTTCCTGCGGCTCGTGGATCGAGCAGTAGAAGGTCTCGTGCTCCAGGTCCGAGGGTTCGTGGCCACAGAACTCGCAGTTCGCGCTGCCCGCGTAGCCCGCCAAACGCCGTCTCTCGGACGACCACATACCATTTGACTGCATGTGGCAAGAGCTCCTCGAAAACCAATGGAAAGCGGTTGCATGCGTCCTTTCCTCAGAGCTCGCATCCAGATGCGCTGACGGCCACCTCCTTCATCCCGCTGCGGAGCTCCAGGAAGGTGATCCAGAATCCAGCGACTTTGCCACCTCTCCAAGCTGGCGAACAGGTAGTGCTTCAACTCGCTAGGGGACACCCTGAGCGAGTCATACGCCACGCAGAGGTCGCCGACGACAGCCGCGGACGACGCCACGTCCCAGCACACACGTTTCAGCGCGAGCCAGAGCGCCGAGAGCGGGCTTCTGGCGCTAGCTCAGGTGAACTTGGAGGCGCCCCTGATCTGGTCTCGCATCGCCACCCACGCCTCCTGAAGGTGCGACGGCGAACCGCGGAGCTCCCACACCCAGGCAGAATACAGCTGCAGGATACCCCATGCGGCGTGGCAGATCGGGTCGCATGCGCGCTGCTTCTGCACAGCGAGGTACAGGGCGAGCGAAAATGAGCCTGTGAATCCACGGAAACTTCCAGCAACGCTCCTCATGTGCTTCAGCTCGCTGTCATTGACACCACTGACAGCAGCGCCGTGGCCGACATGGGGAAGCACTCCTGCGGTCCAAATCCTGGCCGCCTTGGCACGTCCAGCTCCCCGCTGAAGGGCGCGGACGCTGGCCTTCCTGCCGCGCATCTACTCCAGGCGGTCCTCCTGCACCCCACGCACGGCCGCTGCAGCGCCAGGGTCATGGCCAAGATACCGCATGTGACGCCCGCCTGCAATCTTGAGCATCCTGGCGAACGACTTGACATGATAAGCCACTTGACGAGTCAAAGCTAAGTGGCCAGACTTATCGAGTTGCAGAATGAGGCCAAGGGCGCGCACTGACTCGCAAAAACTCGGCACGCCGTTGCCTCAAACGCGAGCCGCGGGGGTCGAGGCCCGTCCAACTCTAGGCCACGTCATCGACCAGGTCCCTCGGCCGTACCTCTATCGCAACAGTAGTGGTTAGCTCGATGCTGCGCGTGAGAAGGACCATCAACGTCGCGGCGGCACGCGCGCATCCTGCCAAGATACATTGGCACACCTGCTGAGCTCGAGAGAAAGAACTGCATGCGAAGGTAGAGCGCACCTGCTCGTAAAGCAAGACCAGCATGCAGGCCAGGTGCACGGAGAAATTGTTCGCCCTGCACACGCTGAGCATGGCGGAGCGCTTGACCATCTCATAGCACTTGAGCATGTCGAGGAGGACGACCAGCGCATGCTTGCCAGTCAACTGCGCCGTCTCCTTCTCAAGCGCCAGGTCGAACGCCGCATCTGCAGAATAACGCCCGCAGTATGGCCCCAGAACTCCCCGCGGGCACTGCGCCGCCCCCAGCCCTCCGAAATCGGACGACGCGCCCGACCCCGGACACGCATAAGAGCGTTGAGGAGCGCGATGAGGCGCCCCCCTCCCCCAGGTTTGGGGAGACGTACCATTTTGGAAATTGGCCTCTCCTGGGGCCAGAGCAGCAACTCTTCACAGCGGCAGAACACCATCGCCATCGCAGTCAAGGCAGCATCGGATAACTGGTCGAGCACCCGCGGCGCGATCTTGACCTGCCTCGCCCCCGCGGCCCAGCTGAAGGCTCGAATCGCCCTGCGGATGTCATTGCCAATGAGGGGCGGGAGCGGGTCCCAATCAGCAGCGCCAGGCGGAAGTTCGACGGGCTGAGCGTCGCGATGCTGCCAGAAACCGTTCCAAGACTCCAACTTCCTGTCGGCGAGCTGGTAGGCGCGCTGCACTCCATCGCCGAAGTCAGCGACCTCCTGGAGCACCTGCGGCAGAGAAACCCTGCGAGCGCGACTGGCTCCACCTTCGAAGGCTGCCTCGGCCCACAACTTCCAGCCCCGGGCAATCTTCTGATCGCGAGTGCGCTGCATCGCCACGGCCTTCGCCAAGATCCCGTCGATCTGCTGCTCGAAATCGTCTTGCAGGGAAGAGCCCACGCCGCGCCCGAAGAGAACCTTGGCCCGCGCATCCACGTGATTCCAGAAACCAGCTCGGGCCTTCATACGACGCAAGAAATTATGGAACTCCCAGATGTGCTTCGCGGTCGCGGTGCAGAGCTTGTCGGGGGACCCCATGCGGGAGGAGGTCGGGGGCCAGCCGCTCGTCACGCCCGGCGCGACGAAGGCAGCCCTGCGCACTCAAAACTTTCTCCCTCAGCAGCTGGGAGCCGGGCCTCCTCCCATATTTGAGGCTGGCGATCAAGGTGCGCCCGACCCACCCTCGGAACGACGCCGCGCACGAGCATCCAGCCCACCTCGCTGGGGCCCAGCTTCGCCGCGAACCTGGGGCCACAGCTTCCCCGCGACTTCCCCCAAAGCGGTCGCGGTCGCGCTGGGCCTGCCTCCCGCGCGCGCCACCTCCGAAGGCGACCGGGCAAGCGACGCGGCGGCGGCCCCGCGGGCGCCGCCAGCAGCGCGCCTGCCAGGCACCGAGCCGAAGCCCACCTCCGCCTCGAGCGCCAGCGGGGCAAGGGCGGCGTCACCAGCCGCTGCCCGCATCGAGACGGGCCTGCCCCACTCGCTGTTTACCCCTTGGGTGCACCTGGGGGCAGGCCCCAGCAAACAACTCGGCGACTGAGCCCAGCCCCTCACGCCGTTCACCTGATGGGCGCGCCTGGGGGCTGGGGCATGCGCCCTAACAACCGAGGGTATATATTCCAACGATGCGCCGCCGCCTGCCGACGCAGAAGCCGAACCACTGCGCGTGCCCGAAGACCAGCCAGCCGTCCTCTGAGAGCAGCTGGAGGGACCAGCTTCGTGAAACCTGCCGTCACTCTGTGGGGAGCTTTCACGCACCTCCCCCATCACGATAGCTGACCGACGAGAGAACGAACGCGGGGATGGCTAGCTTGAGCACCAAACGCCTGCAGGGCCGTGCGTACTCTGCGAAAGTGGCGAGCCCACCGCGCAGCCGCTGCAGCCCGAGCAGCAACGCCAGGTGCCTT